GGTGGGGGGGGGGGGGGGTGAAATGCAGAACTTAAATACAAAGACTGAGGAAGAAATTCAATCCTCTTATCACTTTTACATCACGCCAATTCGACTGCAAGGGAGCACGAGCCATGATAAGGTTTACAAAGCCATGAAAGGGTAGAACCATACTCCTAAACTATTGACCAGCAACTATCAGGTTTCACAAACCTCATGGGGTTAAATCGCAGCACTGGACAGTATATTAGCTGCAAAGGCATTCAGATGGAAAAAATGATATGAAATTCAAGTGGCCTAAGTGTGACCAAAATTGAATTAATTACTATGTCAATACAGAAAAGGTAATAAAAGCAAGTTAATTGGGGAACAAAAGGTCAAAAATAAAATAAAAGTAGGGACTTGCCTTGTGAAGTGTGTATGAACCAGAGTATCATATAAAGGGCGCCATTGAACTTCCAAAGCCAACTTTTTCCGGTATTTATTCAGTACCTTTACCAAGATATTTCCCCATCTAACCTGATGAGAGCAAATGACCTTAACCACGTAAATAGACTGCCATCAAAAGGATATGCAAGAACATGTAGCTTTCGGAAGAAATTACCTGAGCATAAAGTTTATTTTCTGATATACGAAACAATTCCAATCCAACTTCAACTACTTCTTTAACATCCTCCAGAGATAGTTCACTTTTTGCCTTTATGAAGCTGCACGTAAGTCCATTAGTCAGCAGGTTTTATATAATTCCACAAGTCCGTATCCCTTCAACAAAAAAAAAACTCCAGACTAGATATCTGACAAAAAAAGTTGTATCTGCATGCATGGATAAAAATTGTGATTTTCAAACTGGATATATGCATATCGGTATCACAAAACCAAGGACCAATCAGGGTTTCTTATCTACGCGCTTACGTTGCATAAGAGAATACTTGAGTTCAATTACGCCCAGAATTTTATAACTATTATCAGATATATCAGTTAATGAATATCACAAATACTTCTATTGAATTAAAATTTGCAGATTCAAATAGGAGACAACACAATCGAGTATGTTAATCCATATTTAAAACTTCTTTTTTGATAAGGTCCATTTACAACTTCTTATACAAAGATTCATATGCTTTTGGGAGGTCGCAACAAGAAGTTACTACCACCTCCTCTAGTGTTCTTTCTGCAGTACTTTCACTAACAAAAACTTACTGAATCAGTATCCACATTTAGAAAATTAGCACAGCCACACAAATTAAATTTTAAAGCCCACCCTCTGAACTTGTGAAATTAAATAGCAAAAGAGCCAGCAGAAAAGTATGAAGGCTCCCCTAAGTCAAGTAAAACAATACACTAAAGACGAACCCCAGTTGTAACCAAGCCTTAATGTGCAAGAAATTTTTCTTTAATCAATACCAACTAAGTCTTAATCACAATCTAGTTGGGATTCACTATCTGAATCCTCACTAAATTTTTCTCTCCATTTAGATCAGTCACCGGGATGCTTTGTGCACCGGGATGCCCTTTTCTAGATCAGTCACCTTTCAATTTTCAACAAATTAAGTTCTCTAACCCTACAAATTCACTACCAGTGTTATCAAAGGCAAAAAGCGCAAAAAAAGCTCTAAGGTCCGTTGGGGCTTTAAGCGCAAAGCGCAAATAAAGTATGGGCTTTAATGAAGAAAGGCGCAAATGGAGAAAAAAATACAAATATGTATGTGTAGGCTAAGACTAATAATTATAAGCATGAATAACAAATATAAGGACAAAGAAATTGAAAAACATAACAATAAAGTGAAATATCAATTGTTTAGTGTCGCCTCTTCCAATCCAGAGTACGCTCATTGGCAAGGAAAGTATGCCTTAGAGCCTTGATGACGACACCGAAGCACCCGCTAAGCGAGGCGAAGCGCTAAACATGCTTTGCGACTCCTAGCAGATACTGGATTAATTTGAGCATACCCAGAAGACTAAGCCTTAATATCAAAAAGTAGTTCCTCTTACAAGGATCTTTCTCTTCCATTATGTTCTATTTCGTGTTAAGTTTGCATAGGTTGCAAGCGATAAATTTGTTGTGCTAAGTCCCTAAATCTTGTTATCATATCAATTAGCGTTCTATTTTCGATTCTGCTGACAAATAGATATAAGACAGCACAATAATCATGTTTACTCGAATTCGAGAAATTCAAAAACCCCAGACGAGGAAAGTGAAAGAGAGTGCAGACTGGGGAGTAAAACGATGTAGCATCCAGAAATGGTACTTCAAGCATTTTAGGTTGTGATAGTCATTAGCAGTTAAATTATGAAGTAGTTAAGTACTCCCTCTGTCCTAATTATGTAATGCGCTTTCCAGTTTCGCCTGTCCCAGAAAGAATGATACATTTTTATATTTACAATTAACTTTAAACTTCTCATTTTAGCCTTAATGATATGATTTAAATCCACGCAAATATTTAAGGCTACAAGTTTCACAATTTTTTTCTCTTTCTTAAACTGCATGCCCAGTCACACTGCATCACATAAATGTGACGGAAAGAGTATTTTCTATTACATCAGTTTAGTCCAAAGCTAGCTCCTTAGTCCGTTTGAGTCGTGGTGAGCTGTCCAAATTGTTATCAGTTTGTTAGAAGGCTCACGAGCTCAGTGAAGTGGGAAGGAGGAGCTTATACACGTGATTGTAATTGCAAATAGTTTATGAAATGAAATTGGTTCTTTTTTGCTTTATTTCTCTTTTGCCTGTTTATTACTGAAATTGGTTGTGTAAGTGAGTGATAAAAGTCAACGAGCAATAAAATTCAGTACCAGGAATTACGTATACAAAGAATTACTCTGTTAAAAAAAACTAGGAATTGAAATGGAAACTTACAGGTCAAGAACGGAAACCCATTTAAGAGTGGCGTAAACCGAATCGGGATCATCCGACTTGTATGATTCTTTAACGAATTTCACTACTTTGGCAAACGATTCTTTCTCCCCCTTTGTCTGTTCTGCTACCGGGGGAGGCAGCCAGGCGTTGTACAAGTGCATTTTCTACTGATAATTGTGAAGATAGCAAGCTCTTTTGTGTAGGAATTGAATCTTCTAATCAATATATTAGAGAACCCCTTAACTGGAATATATAGTGTTTTCACTAGCCAGGGTCTTCTTTCTTTCTCCCCAAGACAGAATTTGACATCAGGGGACCCGTAATCAAGCTTGGAATTTGCCTAACGCCATCTCTTTCTTCTCATTTATATTAAGTAACCACTTTTCATTTTTGGACTTTCTAAAATAATTTATATCTTTATTTTTCTCTAAGTTTCCCTTCTTCTGTGAATTTAAAACGACTTTAGTGATGTTTTTCGCTAAAATTAACTTTACAACCATTACTTAGTTACTTTTTCCTTTAATTTTGTATAATGTTACTTGACTGCTCCCGAAGTTTAAAAATAAAATAAATAATGACTATTGGCACATAAAAGAGTATTCGTAAAATTTAATGAGGTAACATGTCATGACATGTGTATGCCTATAAGAGATCAAATGATAAAAATTAAAGTTTAATAAATTAAAGAGGGAAAAATCTCACATATAATGGAACAAAAGAGAAACCGTACAAGGAGAGGAAGAAGGATTTGCATATAATATCTATTGACCTTGAGAAAGCATATGATAAAGTCATAAAGGAGGTTCTTTGGAGATGTTTAGAGGCTAGGGTTGTTCCTGTAGCGTACACTAGAATGATTCGTGACATTTATGATGGAGTTAAGACTCAGATGAAGACAATGGGAGGAGACTCGGATCATTTTATGGAGTTACACCAGGGATCTATGCTTACCCTATTTCTATTTGCATTGGCGGTGGACACACTGACACGCCACATTCAAGGGGAGGTGCCATAATATATGCTATTCGCACATGATATTGTACTGATTGACAGACGCGAGGCGGTGTTAACAAGAAGTTAGAGGTTTGGAGACAGACCCTGGAGTCAAAGGATTACAAGCTGAGCAGGACGAAAATAAAATATTTGGAATGTAGGTTCAGTGTGGCAACGAATGAAGTATACATGGATGTGAGGCTCGGCTCACAAGTCATTCCCAAGAGAGGAAGTTACAAAGATCTCGGGCATGTTATCTAAGGGAATATGGAGATAGACGAGGATGTCACACACCGTATCAGAGTGAGCTGAATGAAATTGAGGCTAGCTTATGGTGTCTTGTGTGATAAGAATGTGCCACTGAAACTTAAAGGTAGGTTCTACAAAGTGGGGGTTAGCCCAACTATGTTGTACGGGGTAAAATGTTAGCCAATCAAGAACTCTGATATCCAGAAGATGATAGTAGCAGAGATGAGGATGTTGAGATAGATGTGTGATCATACCAGGTTGGATAGCATTAGGAACGAAGATATCTGTCTAAAGGTAGGCGTAGCCCCCTGGAGGAAAAAATGAGGGAAGCGAGACTGAGATGGTTCGGGCATGTGGGTATAAGAAGAGGTAGAGGGAGGCTTAAGAAGTATTGGGGAGAGGCGGTCAGGTAGGACATAGCGCGGCTTCATCTTACCAAGGACATGGCTCTTGATATGAGGGTGTAGAGGTCAAGAATTAGGGTAGAAGATTAGTAGGTAGTTGAGCATGTTTCTGTTACGGACCGAGGTATTAGGGTTAGTATGGTAGTTTTTTTGTCTTAGATTGGTAGTATTTCATGTTGTTTTCCTATTTTCTTCTGCTTCGGTCTCTTAGTACTCTGTTGTTGTTACTGTTTATTATTGCTACCGCTTCTTTCCATCTATTTTTAACTTTGAGATTGTTGTTACTATCTTTCTGACCTATTTATTGATGCTAGGTGTTTTCGCTATTTCTTTTTTGGTTCTTGAGTCGGGGGGTCTATCGGAAATAACCTCTCTACCTTCTTAGGTTAAGGGTAGGGCATGCGTACACACTACCTTTCCCATATGCCATTTATAGAATTCAATTGGGTTGTTATTATTGTTGGACAATGGAACAAAGAGAACTTTTTTGTTCACCACCACTAAATGTTATCCAAAACATTTGTTTTCAAAAACTAATCCAAACACATAACTCTTCTCAAGTTATTTTTGATATATTTTGTTTAAATTAATTTAAAAACTAAATCATCTATAGTTTTTAAACGAGTAGGAGCGAGAATTTAAGAAAAGGCAGATGTAGGCCGAAACAGAATTGGAGAAAGGCGATTAGACAGGACATGGCATATCTTCAGCTTATCGAGGACATGAATAGGAGAGTATGTAGGTCGAGTATTAGAGTATAAGGTTAATAGGTAATCGACAATTTTTCTCTTTTCTTTGGGAGGATGTGGTTCTAGTATAGAGCACATTATATGTCTCCTCTTCTCCTAATTAATATTATTATTATCATGGGTCATTTGGTACGCGAAATAAGGTGGGATAAAGTGTGATAAACTTAGTCTCATACTTAATCATGGATATCACATCTTATCCAATCAAATTTGGTATTATTTTATCCTACCTGAATTAAATTACTCTAGAGATTATAATTTCAGGACTATAATCCCGGGATAATTTAGTACATGTACCAAACGACCCCTTATTATCATATTATTATTTTATTCTTCAATTTCACTACTACTACTACTGTTATTCCTTTGATTGGAATATCTTACTATTTTTGCTACCAATACTTTTTTTTATAGTATTTTCATCATAGCGTCTTTATTGTTATATTTTTAAAATATGTTTTAATAATATATTTTTTAGCCGAGAGTCTATCAAAAATAAATTCTCTACCTCATATAAGGTAGGGATAAGGTCCGCATGCATTATATGCTCCCCAAACTTCACTTGTGGAACCACACTAGCTATATTAATGATGTTTCTTCTTGTACTATGCAAATGTGAGGGTTTCGGATCAGAGGTGTGTTTACCAGTAAAATGGTATAGTTGAATTTATACGTGGTTTATAGACAAGTGAATCGATTTGATCCTAGAAAGATAAATGAATTAAACAAGAATGTAAGACTTAGCGTTGAAATCAAGATAAGACAGCTGAAATCTTGTTTTCGGGAGAAGAGCTTCCGGAGGTAGCAGTAATAATATTAATAAGCAAGAAGATAAAATTTATTTAAGCTTTGAGCAGTGTATAACATAAGTTTGTCAAAAAAATCTTCCCTTTTACATTGGTTGTTGAGCTCTCTATTTATAATTGCACCTAGGGAACAAGGTCCTAGGATCAAGCACCTCTTAAATGACAATTATTAGGGTCACTAAAGAGTGTGTAACGGTACGCAGTGAATGTCATTCTCCTGTAACGGACTATATACTTAACATTATAGAATATTCTCTATTAAATGCTACCAGGTGGTAGGCGTTTATTCCGCCTTCATGAACACCATTCCTTTCGGGAACCAACGAGATCATTGCCTTTGGACCTGATTGCTTTCTGTCTTCGGCTCCACATGTCGCTTCATCGTGTGAGCATTTAATATGAACATATTGTACCCTATACAAGGCAGATCTAAGATTTTGGGTTCGTGGATGCTTAATTTTTTTTTTACTACCGATCACATAGTATAAGTGCATAACTATTGAACATGACGGTGAAAAAGTTAGTGAAAACATTTGATGGACTTTGCCGCTCTAGAGGAAGAGTTCATTTTTAGAAGGGGTCGAACTTAGAAGATTGTGTTTTTTTTTTTTGCTATAGAGAATTATTAGGTAAAACAGAAGTGGAAAGTTAAAAATTAAAAAGGTAAAACAAATTCAGATTAATATAGTCTAAAAATAAATATAGTAGTACAACAACAAACCTAGTGTATCCCACAAATGGGGAGTCTGGGGAGGGTATTATGTACGCAGCCTTACCCCTACCATATGCAGGTAGAGAGGTTGTTTTCGGTAGACAAAAAAAAGTAGTATTGGGTCAAAAAGTGTACTTAATAAAATAAAAAGAACACCTAAAAAGGAAGAAAATAAATATATGCCTGTTACGATTGAGATTTGAACTTTGTCCCCTCACTTCATTAGAGCATCTAACATCCTTCCTTAACTAAAGCACCCATCAAGCTTCTTATTTTCTGGGTGCTTACTGGCTTATCATATCAAATTTCTAAAATATTCTATATTATATACCCTATGTTAAGGTTAATGGGTGGTAAAGCACCCAAATTTTGTATATAGATCGACCACTGTTTCAGATCTGGGTCGAATCAAAGAACTAAGAATTGAAATTTTAGTCACGCGTAAATATATAACATCTTTTCTCCACAAAGTGAACTTTTGATTGTGAACCACACTCATAAATATATGATATTGCAACTTATTGATTTTATAAAGTAAATAAAAAAGAAGGTACCTTGCCACATTTGGAACTTTTATTCAAATTCTTCAATTCGATGCCCACTACATAAACAAAGGGGCGACTTCCTTGTATAGGGTAAAATATGTTTTATTAAATGATCGCATGAGGAAGTAACACCTGAATTCGAAGATAGAGGATAACTGAAATCGAAGGCAACGATCTCGTCTGATACCGGAGAGAATGATACTCATAAAGATAAAGTAAAAGCCTGCCCCTGGTAGCATTTAATGGAGAATATTGTGCAACATTAAGTACACTGCGCATTACAAAGAATATGGCATTCATTCCCGTTGTTACACATTTTTCAATGGCCATTTTAATTGACATTAAAGAAGGGATTGATCTTAGGACCTTGTTCCCTAGGTGCACCTATAAATAGTGAGCTCTATTGTCATTGTAAACGATACGAATTTTATGGAAAACTTACGCTACATTCTATTCAAAACTTAATATAATTTTATCTTCTTGCCTTTTAATTTCATTGATGTTGTGCTCAGAAGCCCTACTCTCGGAACTACTGTTTCTGCTATTTTATCTCCATATAAAGGCTAAGTATTGCATATTTATCTAATTCTTCTATTATCTCAGAATTAAATTAATTCACTTGTCTAGAAACCACGTATAAATTTAACTGTACCGTTTTACGGGTAAATAGTTTGGCGCCCACCGTGGGGCCTAGACGGTCGTGCGATTAAGTTGGTCCTTGCCTCTTTTACTAACGTGCTTTGGTTATTTTTTCTTAGCAAAAATAGTAGAAAATGACAGATAATGGTGTTAACAACACACACAATCTTGAGGCTCAAGGAAACCAGCCCCAACACGAGGATTCAATAAGTGATACCCGTAATGAGGGGGACGATGTCACGCCGGTC